CCCCGGTTCGGATCCCACATATGAGGGCCAGTGACACTGCCCTCTACAGCTAAGATGCTGAACAACAGCTCAACCTGAGCTGGGCTGCCATGAGTCGCCGGCGACGGCGTGGGCTGCAGTCCCTGTGGCAGTGCATTGCCATGGGCTACCGTGTGTGGCCAGCAGCCAGCGTGAGCGGCCAGCAGCCGCAGTGAGCGGCCGTCCAGAAGCCGGCGACTGATCTGCCTCGCCAGAGAAGAGCGCAATGATGGTGCCAACTTGGGCCAGTGAAGCAACGTCCTCCACAACTAGATTGAAGAACAAAACGACAGCAACTTGTCTGTTCCCCTTTCCCCAATTCCCCAGCACTGTTCCCATCCCCCAATTCCCCAATAAAAATCTTAAAAAAAAAAAAAAGTTAAATAAAATAACATAAAGCATCTAGCTCAGTGGTTGGCACAAAGGTATTTCCCTTCAGTTCTTTCTCTCCAAATAGGGAGTTTCCATTTGAAAATTAACTTGTAGAAATTATTTTCACAGTACGTAGTCCACAGTCAAGTACCCTTGCTTTTTTAAAAGGGACTGTTTTATAAATTGGATCAGGAAAAATTTTTCAGTATGTGGAAATATTTCTCCTTTGGATCAGGTTAGCTTGAGTATTTCTTGATCATCATATAGATTTGGAAATACGTTTGTTACATATTGAGTTTGAGCCGGGTGGGAGTTTTATCTGCCTTTGTCTGAGAGGAAGAGATTCTGATTAGTTCGCAGCTGTTTTGCCCTACCCCAGGCTAATGGTGTTATGGCACTTTTGCAGTCTAGTAATTTGTAGTTACGTTATGCAAAATCCTGTCCCATTTTTAAAGATTAGGTTCTCCGTGTCAGTCTCTGAAATTCTGATTAGAAACCAAGGTTTAACCAACTAAGGTAGGGATTTATAAAAACACATTTTCATCCCAGTTCCTCATTATAAGGTTAGACTCTCAATAAAAATGAGAACGCTACATATTTTTAAAAAGTGTGTGTGTGTGATGCTGGGAGGAGGAGGAAGAGGAGTGTTTTAGCTCAGCATTCAGCAGCAGGCCTTGGCTACCTTCATTCATACTTCGGTTTTCGTTCACAAGACTCACTTGCACTCCCCGCCCACTTCCCTTTTTTTACTTAGAGATGTACTAAATCAGTGGAGAAGAAGGTAGAACATTCAGATAAGCAGAAGAAAAAATTAAATTCATGGATAACCCCACTTTTCAGAGAAAACCATCATTAACACTTTCACTTACTTTTGGAGTTTTTTCCTTCAGATATTCATATGTTTAAAACAAAAATGGTGTCGTATAAGCCATGCTTTCTATAAATGGCTTTATTCAATCATCAATGTATTGTGACTGTCTTTTATACCAATAATGAATGCATTTCTAAAATACAACTTCTGGTTACCTTTTTTTCCTTCTAATTACAGAAATACTGTTTATTGAAAAAATTGTTAAGGAATACAGACATATCTAACAGAAAAATCAGTTTCCACATAAGCCACTTAATCCTTTACACAGTACTTTTTAATGTTTGTTTAGTATTCTGTCTGCGTGGGTTATCATACTTTCAAACCCATAGTGTTTGCCATTTACAAATGAATTGGCAAGTTTCCAGCTGCACTGCTTTGTACGTCTCTGTACACACATCTGGGTACGATTGCCCAGTTAGCTCATGAAAATAAATTTTTACAAATGCATCTGCTGGTTAAAGTGTGTGTACATTTTAGGTTTTTTTTTTTTGTCAAGTACTGCAAAATTTCATTTAAAAAATGATACGAGTTCTCTGATCAGCATTGTTTGGGGGGAATGTCTGCTTTCTAATCTTGTTTTTCCTTAAACAATTTTTTAGCAGTATGGTGGAGAAAAATGATATAATTTGAAGTTATTTTTTATTATTATTAGGTAAGTTTAATTTTTTTTCTTCACAAGGTTTTGGCCATGTGTATTGCTTTGTGAATTACTTGTTGCACATTTAAAACATGGAGTGTGCACCTTTTTCTGTAAACTAAACATGACTTTGCAGATGCCTTAGTCCCTTTTGAAACCAAATGAGCTGTGCGTAAAAAACTCAAGTGGGACACCTTGCTATTTCCAAAGGTCTGTATGAACCTGGGATCCAGGAGGTTGCCGGCACAGCCTGTATTGTCACCGCAGGCTGGCGGGCCGCCTCTTGCTGCCTCTTTCCAGCCGCCTTCTTGCACTGTGTGTGGTTTCCCGGTATCATCTCTGTCCCTGGTTGTCTGTAGCTGTGTTGGTATGTGGGTGGGCAGTGAGTGGGGTTCTGCCATCCACTGTGACACAGCTAAACAAGAGTTTTATCTCTAACTTATTAGTGAAACGTAACTAATATGGACTGACAATGTTAAAGGACCAACTACTCCATTTTCCTTACTGTATCATGCTGGCCAACATGACAAAAATATGCCTTAAACATTTTTTTTTTTAAAGATTTTTATTGGGGAGTTGGGGGATGGGAACAGCGCTGGGGAATTGGGGGAAGGGGAACAGGCAAGTAGCTGTTGTTTTTTTCTTCAGTCTAGTTGTGGAGGACGTCCCTTCACTGGCCCAAGTTGGCACCATCATTGCGCTCTTCCCAGGTGAGGCAGATCAGTTGCCGGCTTCTGGACGGCTGCTCATGGCGGCTGCTGGCCGCTGGCTACACACGGTAGCCCATGGCAACCCACTGCAGCAGGAGCTGCAGCCTACACCATCCTCACGGCAGCCCAGCTCCAAGTTGAGCTGTTGTTCAGCATCTTAGCTGTGGAGGGCAGTGTCACTGGCCCTCATATGTGGGATCCGAACCGGGGCCCTCTGGCGTCCCAAGCCAGTTCTTAACCATCGCACCACTCGGCCGGCCCTCCCTTAAACATTTTTAAAGTGAAGCAGCTTAAATTGTTTTGGTGTGCAGAGTTTAACTTTACATTTTGCATTGTGATGTTGTTGTCACTTCATAACATACCATTTGGGGGCTACTCTTTCTCTTTGTTTTAAAGGGAGGAGTTTGTGCTTGTGTGTGTGTGTGTGTGTGTGTGTGTGTGTGTGTGTGTGTGAGAGAGAGAGAGAGAGAGAGAGAGAGAGAGAGAGAGAACGAACTGAGGGTGAGTCTGATGGTGAGTTTGAAAAGGAGTCTGGTGTGACATGGATAACCTCTCTTTAGAGTGGTGAAGATTAGGTGTTTTAATAAACGAGTTTTTGAATAAACTCACTGGGGGCACTTCAGGATAGTGCAGACATTCTCCTTAGCTCTTATGCTGATGAAATAAATGGACTGCAGAGCACCTTCTAGCATGGTTCCTGTCCCATGGCAGGTTCTCATTGAAGGACACTTACACATTTGTGTGTAATGATAGCTGTCATTCTCTCCATCGTCATTTAGTGAGTGCCTCGCTTAGCCAGGCACTGGCCGAGGTATGGAGTGTTGCAGTGGATGAAAGGCTAACATGTCTTCCCTCACGGAGCTCATGCTCTGGTGTGGGGAGACAGTCACCGAGTCAAATCAATGAGGACAGGATCTCACACTGTAAAAGAACAAGCGCTATGAAGAGAAATAAATTGGGTTTGGGGGTGGCAGGGACTGCTGATGGGAGAGGAGGATTTATAGGTTTAAGTAGGACGATCGGGGAGGGATTGGAAAGTGGGGGTTCAGCAGCTCTGGGGTTAAGCCCATCTTCACTGTTCGTTAAGTGGGCGACTTAGAGGAAATTATTTAACTTTTGATCCTCAACTTCCACATGTTAGGAAAAGATGATAATGAATCCGCTGCATGGGGTCAAACAAGATAATATGGGAAGCACATAGCATTCTGCCTGCCATCAGTTTCCAACAGGAAGAAAGCATGGCTGGTGCCCAGTAAGGTGGGCACTGCCCCTTGGCAGTCAGGCTCTGAGACTCAGGCATGCCCACAGAGCAGAGTGGAGAGCGGGGGCTTTCTTCCAGCAGGAAAGCTGCTGTAGAGAGGAGTGTTTAATGCGGGGGGCAGAGAAAAATAAGCGGTGGGAGCCTTGGCTGTGTACATGTCGGGAAGAAAGGGAAGCCTTGAGGTTCTTTCCTTTCTTCCTAAAGAGAGAGGAAAAGACTCATTTCTTTTACTTTGGTTTTGACAGGTCTGTGACCAGTTGATTCTGTGTTTCTATTTCCGTGCCTAATCAAGTGTTTTAGAGTCTTAAGTTTCAGGGAAGTAAAACATAAATGTATGTATGTATGGGTGCGTATACAAGGATAAAGTTAAAAATAGTTGCTAAATAGATTTTCTTTAGAATGAAGGAATAAGTGCTGGGAGCACCTGGGAGGAGGACTTGACTGAGATTGGATGATCAGGGAAAGCTTCCTGTAAGAGGACATTGGATCTGACTCCTGGAAAGGGGGCCTGGTCTTTTTTTGGGGAGGACACTAGCATTTCCCAGAGTATGCTCCATAGCACCTCAGTCCTGACAGATGCTCTGGGTAGAGAAGGGGTTAAGAATGAGCTGAGTTTGCAGCAGCATCATACCGTTCACCCACTTGGAGGTTCACACTGCATGTTCGCTGCTGAAGTTTTGTCAGCCCTGCAGTGAAGGGACCTGCTGAACTGTGTCGGCCTGGCAGGCTGGGCCCCGTGCTCGACCTCCACAACAAGCCAGCAGGCTGGGGTTTGGATGCTGCCAGCTCGCTCTTCCAACTCTATCTTTAGGGAATGGAGTTGTCACTTGTCCTTGGGTCCATATTTGCGAGTCATTTAGAGATCATGAAACATATTTACTATAGCTCTTCAAGTTTAGGAGAAAAAAATTACTCAAGCCTAGACAGAAAAATAGCTAAGGAGGATTACACAGTTTTGAATCTCCGTTTTCATCTTTTATTTTTCTTTGCTCTGCTCTTTATTTATTTGGTTTCTGTGACATACTTTATAGAGTACTTGCATATAATGAAAAAGAATTTGTAAAAGTTGAAAGTGGAAACGTTTTTAAGAAACTCCTGTTTTAACCAAGGCGTCCTTCTCCCCCTCCCAAGGTGTATTACCCAAATTTGGGATGGATGTGCATTGATGCCACCGATCCAGAGAAGGGGAACTGGCTGCGATACGTAAATTGGGCTTGCTCCGGAGAAGAGCAAAATTTATTTCCGCTGGAAATCAACAGGGCCATTTACTATAAAACTTTAAAGGTAAGAGTGTTAGCATCAGTCTGCCGCTAGTTACTTTGCACGCGTTTTGCAAATACTGTCTGCAGTCGTGACTGACAATAACAACTGTGCAGACCTTGAAAGGATTGTATTTGAAAGTGGTTCATCAACACATTGAAGCGACTTCCCTCCTCATGAGATACAAATGCGTTGGGACCTGTCTGTCGGGCAGATTTATCCAACTGTAAGAAACTGTCAATAGCTGTGGTGGTTCCGTGTTAACTGCAAACACATTCTTAGTCTTCAGTGTAATGCAGCCTTGGATTAGCTTTTCTTTTCCCTAACTTTTATTCAGAATGGGAATTAAACAGAACATTTTCTTCCTTCAGCCACATTTTTATTTGGAGACATTCATGGTTTAGATGAAAGGAAAAGGAAAGTCATGTTTTAGGGTTTGTGGTGCAGTCAGAGGTCACTGAGTACATTCAGGGAAGTTACACTTAGGAAGTGTCGAGCGTGGCTGCGTTTCTGCACCAAGCAGGCCCCAGTCTGTCTCCCGTGTTGTCATGTTCTCTCGGAAGGCAAATCTGCACGTGCTGTGCATGGAAATGTTCTCAAACGCAGAGTCTTGAGGTTCTAAAGATAGATAATTGTTGCTTTGGGGAATAGATGCATTTGCTAAAATTGCTGTAGGGCACATTTCTCTTTACTCCCTTCTATTAAAAATGTCATAGATTAGGGACAGTCCATGGAAAAAAATGATCTCCAAGGAGTTGAAAACTCTGAATGAGCAAGCATTTAAGATGATGGTCATGCTGAGTTTTGCCTGTGTGGCAGTGCTAAGACTTCTGGGAGTAGAGTTAGCAAGTAGCTGCTTCATTTTCTTATGCTGTTCTTTTCCTGTCACCTTTAGCCAGTTGGACTGCCCTCTGCCGCATGTACACCCACATCCTTGCTTCCAGGGACTGGAAACTTATTTAAAACTTCTACAAACTTCTTTCCCATTTTCTTTCTGCTATATTGTAAAAGCATGATTTTCTAGTAGGTGTAACTATACAATTTTGTTACACTAGAATTTGAAATTAGATTCAAAATTTGATTCAGGAATTCATTCTGTTTCTCAAATTTATTTAAAGTGATTGTTGCATCGGGTTGAATCCGTGAGGCAAAATCCTGGTGGAGATGAAATACCAGCCTGGGGATGAATCTGAGACAATCAAGGGAGGTAGAGATGAGGTTCCAAGGGAGAGCAGGCCCAGGGAAATGTTAGGACACTGAGAGCGCTTTCATCAGGCTGTGTGCATCTCTGATAGCAAATCGAAGAAACATCGAGAAGCAAGGCACATAGTGTTTTGGAGAGTGAGCTCTGAAGCCAGGCCTCTGGATTAGGTCCTGGCTTGTTGTGTGACCCAAGGCAAGTCACCTTCCTGTGCCTCAGTTCCCTTATTTGTAAGATAGCGCTAATTGCAGTGTTGCCGTTATGGGGAGCAGGGTGATTTCGTAGGTGATAACGAGCAAAGCTCTAGCGTCTAGTAAGTGCTAAATGAATGATAGCCGCTACTTTGGGGCGAGGCAGGATGGTGTCATGGTTAGGAGTGGGGTCTGGCAGATTGCTGTGTGAGTAGGTTTTGCCTTCTGTAGTTGACATGTTACTTCAACTCTGTATCTTAGTTTTCTCATCTGGAGCAATGGAGGTAATAGCAAAATCAATGCATACAGTTGTGAAGATGAAACAAGACTGTGTAAGGTTCAGTGAAGTGTTGCTAGTCTAACCCAACTAAACGTGTTACCTACACTGCTGCTATTACTGTTACCTATCTTGGTCTGAAGAACATGGTTCTGATCTTTGCTGATCTCCCCCAATTCTGACCTTCGATGTTTGCTCAGGTATGCACAAGACCTTTCAGATTTCTTACTGGTGGCTATCTAAGTATAGATTAAGCTTTCTGTGGTTTAGATTTTGTAAACAAACTTATGTGTGATGTTCTTCTGTGCTCTATATCACTTTCTTAACTATCACCCAGATAATTGGAAAATCCCAACACTGGCTTTGTTTGTAATATGATTAAAAACTATTTTAAATTCCCAGAAGTTAAGTGTTAGCTTGCTATCCATTCATTCTCCTATTCACTAGTTTGACAAATATTTATTGTCTGGTATATACCAGGTATTCTTCTGGAGCAGCAAACAGAACAGATAAGGTCTGTGGTCTCATGGAACTTACGATTTATGGGTGAGGAGGCAGATAATAAGCGAATAAGTAAACAAACTATTTCAGATGGTGATAAGTGCCTTGAAGACAGTCAAATGTGATAGATGCTAGGTAGGGGGAGGGCTGCTTCAGCTCTGGTGAATCAGGGAAGACAAGACACGAACTCCCCAACTGGCATGGGGAGAAGCCAGCCACGCAGAGGTCTGTGTGGTAAAGGTAAGAGCAGACCAGGAAGAGGGGCCCCTGTTGAAGAAAAGGCCTTGAAGTGGGAATAAGATAGATATTTTTGTTTTTTTTGAAGGAATGAAACAAAGGCCTGTGTGGCTGGAGTGAGAGGAATGGGTAGATGAGGCTGGTAAGGCCGGTGGGGGCCAGCTCGGGGGNCGGCGTGTGGCTCGAGGGGAGAAGTTGGGGATTTTCTTCTTCAGTTCAGTTCACCCACTCGGCAGTTGAGGTTGTCTGACCTGTGTCTTAAAAGATGATGTTGCGGAATAGACTGTAGGTGGGAAAGCATGGATGTGCTTCGTGTGTTCCTGTTATTCTGGAATATTTTCCTTATTTTGACCCAGTGTCAGGAATATTTATTGGAACCCTTAACTCTTCCTAATTGGTCTGGTAAAATTTCAAGTTTATATTTACTGAGATTTAGAGAAGAGCGTATGCTTGGTTCAGTAAGCCTGTCAGAACCTATGGGAGAGTTAGGAAGAGTTTAAAGTCTCTTTGTTGTTAGATTTTTGTTCAACATCAAAATGCAATATATAAAAAAAGATGTTTGGACTTGTGACTTTATTTTTTTAATGTGGGTTTATATTTCCTGTGTTTAGGAACATAAATTTTATTTTATCCTGAAAATTGACTTATAAAATCTTAAATGTGCTAAGCAGTGCAGAGGAAAAAAACAGCACAGTACAGAAGCAAACAATCACTGATTTAAAAAGGTATATTATTTTCCTCTTCATAAAGGTCTGTTATTTTTGTATCTGTTTTAGTATGAAGTTGGGAAGTATATAACTGAATAATACAATAATCACCTCAGCTGCTAACGATTTGGAAAGTTCTTCAACAGCTAACAAATCACGGGGCTTTTGCTATAGCTGTTCACCAGCTCATTAGCCATTAAGAGATTTTGTATTAGATTTGAGGTAAAAACAGATTCTGATGTGTTTTTATGTTGTGTTTTGCAACAACAAAAGAGAGAATGCCCTCCTAAGTTAAGAGTTTGTACTCATATTTAATTTCACCCAGTTGCTAGTACAGTCAGTTCTTCTCAGAAGGTTGCAGTGGGATGACCATGGCAGCTTAAGCTCTGGTCTGGGAGGCATCACAAAAATGCCCAGTGGGTCGCTTGTAGCCAGTGTCCTGGTTACGCTGTTTGGGTTAGGAATAAATTGAGAATACATTTTCCTCACTCCTTTCCATGTTCTTTTTCTCTTTGGTTTTATTTAAGTCTTTACATATTTCTGCAAACCCTAATCTTTTCAAATATTATATGATACCATCATTGCTTGAACATGTGACTTACAAAAAAAAGGAGACGCAAACTATATATTTGGAACTATCAATTGTTTACTTAAATAAAAAAGCCTATTCCTTCAACAGAAACAGATTAGCTCATCAGAGTACCAGAAGGCATTTGTAATGGCTCTTTAAACTCATAAAAATCCTGTGTATTGACTTGTAAAATCTTATATATTTTAACTCACTAAAATCTTGTATGTATTAAGTTTTTTTGGTTTAGGTTTAACTGACTCAAGAAGGGCAATAATAATACATTGGTTTAATAAAGATAAGAAAATGGCAGGTTTAGCCATTGTTGGGGGAGCAAAGGAAACAGTGGCTTGTTCTTTTATTTTAAAGAATTTAGAATATTTTAAAATTTGGACTATATAAACAGTGAGTTCTGTAGAGAATAAAACAAAGTAATATTTACCTTCAAGGGTATCATCTAGACTGGAAGGTATGTGGAAGCGAGGAACTATGTTGTTCTGAACTGCCATGTTAGGTGGGATTCCCCCTGCTCCTAAAAAAGGCCATGACCATAGTGCCCTGATCAAAAGCAACAGTGCCAGTATTTTATTAGCTAATATGCACACCTTACTCAGAATTTGTCAGTTGTTCCAATCATGTCCTTATAGGAAAAGAAAACGCAGTTGCATTCAGTTATACTGTCTAGTCAGTTTCCTTAGATTGAATAGTATGTCAGTCTTTGCTTTCGTAGCCTTTCAGCTTTGAGAGAACTGGTCAGTTATTTTGTAGAATGTCCCATAGTTTGAGCTTCTCTTATGTTTCATCATGATTAAATTACATTTTTATGCATTTTGGGCAGACATCTCTAGAAGTGATGCTTTGTTCTTTTCTGTGCATGGTGTCAGGAGGCACATAATGTCTGTCTTATAAAGATACCGTTTTCCCCTTTGTAATTAATACATGTTTTATGGGGAGATATTTTGAGACCTTGCAAGTATTCTGTTACTCCTCAAACTTTCACCTACAAGTTTTAGCATCCGTTGATTCTTGCCTGAATCAATTATTACTTTGATGATTGCCGGCTGGTGATTTTCTAATTCCATTGTTACTATTTTTTTTCATTGATTAGTTGGGATCTACTTTAAGGAAGAGCTTTCCTTCTTATTTGTTGACTTGTTCATTCATTCATTCATTCTTTCATTTCTATCAGTATGGACTCATGGATTCTCATTTTATTCCGTGGGTTTTAGGTGGAACTTTACTTGCGTGGATAGTCTTGGGACTTGTCACACAGATGAATCATTTTGAGAGGAACCAATAAGCCATTTCCTTAAATTCTATTTAGAAATATAGCCTTTCCCTCAGTTTATTTTTTCTTCAGGGTATTCTAGATATAATCAGTATGCTGGTGATACATGTTGTTAAGAATTTATGTTGTAGGAGCACAATACGTGTGAGGCACCGTTAGGCATTTCCTTCTAAATTTAAGTTGTCATGTAAACTCCGTGTGCGGTGTCAAGGGCAAGTTGGTGGCTTCCCCATGGACCCAAGCAGGTTGGTGGCAGTGTATATATAGATAGCATACTGCCAGGACACTTGTGTGTCCTCTTCTTTTTTAGCCTTTCCATGGTAGAATTAGCAGTGACTTATAAATGTGCAGTGGCATATACAATAGTTCTTCCTTATCTTGCTTAACTTGCTCTTGGAATCTGAACCGTGGACTGGTCATTAGCTTTCAGCAGTTCTCCAAACCACCGTGTTCTTTCTAATTGTACTTTAAATTTCTCATCAGCTAGATTTTGTGGGCAAGATGGTTCCGTGTTTTATTTTTCTTTCTGCATTGGTAGTCGTGAGGCTTTGAACAGTAAGATTCGACAGCCTACGGCAGTTTTGAGTTTAAAGCAACCTCTCCTAGTCAGAGCCATAGTGGACATGCGGACCCCCAAGAGAGGAGGCGGGCGGGAAGTGAGGTCCTCCCTCCAGCAGAGGGTCCCTTCCCGCAGCCGCCCAGCCCGCAGCCGCAGAGGGTTTCCGAGCCCTTCCTGCCCGGCTGGCCTCCGTCTCGCCGCCCCGCCCCCGCCCGCCAACAACCGCCGCTCTGATTGGCCCGGCGCCTGTCTCTTCTCTCCCCGCAGCCAATCGCGCCGGGCGAGGAGCTCCTGGTCTGGTACAATGGGGAAGACAACCCCGAGATAGCAGCTGCGATTGAGGAAGAGCGAGCCAGCGCCCGGAGCAAGCGGAGCTCCCCAAAAAGCAGGAAAGGTAGGAGCCCGCCGACACCCGCTCCCCCGCCGCTCCGGATCCGGGCTCCGGTGGAGCCCGAGGCTCTCGGTGACCTTTTCCGGACCGGCCTCTGGCCCGCGCTCCGGCCCCCCCGGGACGCTGCTGAATCACGGCGCTGGACGCCGCTCGGGCTCTTTTCTAACTTGGGGTCGGGAATCCGGGCGTGGAAAAGTGCGCGGACCCCAGCGCCGCCCTCGGTTTAGTTGTCACTTCACTTGCGGACATCAAAAATAGCTGGATTTGCGGGTGGGAGCAGCAGCCGGTCTCTCCCGAGCCGTGCACGCCCGGTATATTCTTAGCTTTTTGTGCTATTTGCCAGTGAACGCGTCATAAAATGTGTTCCGAGAGTGACATTTTCCGCTCAGGCAGATTCAGTGGCCTCCTGCCCACCCGGGACGGTGCGGGAAGGGCCGGGCGCTCTGTGGCGGATGAGCTCGCGTCCCCCAGAGGGCAGAGGGAACTGGCCCGGCCAGGCGGTACACTGCCACTCCGCGAGGGCCGGGCCGGCCGGGCAGTGTCGCTCCACGCGGGGTCGGGCCCTGCCACCCGGTGCCCCCGGGCGCCGTGCCGTGCCGCTGCGCCCGTCTCCCGGACGGGCCCGGCCACTCTTCACCCCACCCCACCCCACTCCACGAGGGGCCAGGCCGCGCCGCGCAGGATTGCAACACTCTCAGGGGTGGTTTAAGGTCTTAGCACAGCAGATCTTCCCGAAATTAGGCCATTAACAAAATGGAAGTTGAAGAGTGTTGTTTTGTCACTTTGACTCAACTCCTGTAGTTTTGTTTTATCGTGTTTTCAAACCAAGGTAAAGCGCAGTCAAGCTTACAAAAGGGAGGGGATAATTTCCGGGTAGGAAAATAGTTTGGTTGGATATATCGTATTTCCAGCTGGCATTTTGACACGTTGTTGGGATTTTTTTTAAATGAAGATTTTTAATGTGAATTCGTAAATCTTTCATAGAGCCCAGTTTGAATATATGCCAAGGCACACTGTGGCCGTTTCCTACTAATACAAAACTTGTTTTTTTGCCTGCCTTAGTCTTAAGTAAATTTTTGTATTTGTCTGGACTTATTAGTCTGTCCTTTACTCAGAACATTGCAAAGCGAGTTGTGTAAGTCATATTGTAAATAAAATCATAACATAAACTTGATTTTGGAAAACTGTAAAAGTAATATTTAAAAATGTAGGCAAGAAGTCTTTTTCTGATTTTCCTATTACATATTGTTTTTATTTCATAGTGTAATGCAAATGCAGCTAATTCATCCAAGGGACAGTTTGTGGGCCTTCTATTAAATACATGTTCTCTGTTTATTGAATATGATTTTGTGGCTGTTTTAGGTCATTAAATACTTTGATCCTGAATCAGGTGATTAGGGTCTAGAAAATTCCCAGGTGTTTTTTTTTTTTTTTTTTTTTTACTGTTTTAAGTGACTATTGAGATTTTATTATTGACATTAGGCTTAATGCATAATTGTTTGCAAACTCTTTACATAATTCAACTGTTTCCTTTATGTAGTGTTCATTTTATTTATAACTAATGTCACCAGCCTTTCCAGGTAAGTTGTGATTTGCGGGGGCTGGAGTTGGGGGAGAAGGGGAAATCTTTACTCTGCAACTCAGCATAACTAACTCATTATTAATAATAATATATAATAAAATATATTGTTATTAAATATATTCATAGCTTAGTGGAAACTTCACTGTAAGGCTTTTCTGTTTGACGTGCATGTTCAGAACATTTTATTACTTTTTTCTTTTTCCCTTTTTAAGAAATCTATTCATTTAGTTGGATTTGGAGAAAAATGAAAATAAACCTTTTATTAGTGATGCATGAACTTACATATCTTTATTTTTATACGTGCCTAGATTGCTGGGTTTTTATGTCATTAAGTAGTTCATATTTCTTATTATCCTGTTATTATTTTTATAACTACTCTGGGCAGCATATAGCCCACTGAATCTTAGGTTTTAATTAAAATACTTACATGAGGCTAACCCTTGGAACTTATAGTCTGTTTCCAACAACTTACTGGTAAAGAGTCCTGTTTGAACTTTACGACCTAAAGTTTGGAGAGTTTAAATAATGAGTCAAACCTTTTTGGTTTTAAATTAAATACTCCATGAAAGCTAATTTATAGCTTGCAAAGACCTGAAACGAAGAACTTTTCATATTAACTCAGTTCTGTTTAGGTCTTATGTGTGACCTCAGACATGTAAATACCTTTTCAGGCAGTGATGTCAGTGAGTAAATCAACATAAATTTCTTTCAGTAGCAAGTTAACTTAGTGTTTCTGAAAGCCAGATGTTGAAGACATGTAGCTGACAGGTAGATTGACAGTGGACCTAACTATTTCAGTTATGAGGCCGGCAGAGAGAAACAAAGGGCTGAATTCTTCCTAGTTCTGGACTCCGGCTCCTTTGCGTGACAGCTGCTGTGCCTACAGCTGTGCATTGCATGTGGTGCCTTTCAGAGTTCATGGGATGGCGGGTGGATCTGGGCAGTGAAAAGCCCGATGCCTTCACATACAAAGTGGGCCCTTCTCTCTCCCTGTCTGTCTCTCATTTATTTAACTAACGTTCATTAAGCTCCTGCCGTGGGGCAGGCACTCTGCTAGGTTGTACAGCATGATGGTGAGAGAAAAAGCAGCAGTAACTCTTCTCATGGCGCCTGTGGTCTAGAGACAAACATTAAATCAGTAAGCTGTGATCAGCACCTAGATGGTTGGCACGGAATAGGCTCTCAATAAATATTCGTTGATTGGCAAACAAAGACGCACACAAACCTGTAGTGAAGGAAAAGAACGCAGTGCTGTGAGAACACAGTTCATATTGTCTCTGACCAGGGAGCATGCAGTTTTGCTATGGGCCAAAGATGTGCGCACATTCGGCGTTTTGAACTAGAATGTTGGATCCTCAGCTTTGTGATTCAGCCGAACTTCCTTCATGTCGAGCAGCCCCTGTAATGAGATTGAACACGAGAAGTTCTTGGATGGGACAGATAAAACTTTTCAGGTAGGGAGAAAGGGAGGGTTTTCAGTGTCTGGTGTTTTAGTTTATTTTAATTCAAACCAGAGGAAGATTATACTCTGTGAAGTAAGGTGGAAGGGTCAGATTTGGAAGTACTTACCATCTTCTCCACCTCTGTCCCCTATTTGTTAGTGCGAGAAGTGAGAGATTGACTTTGTTTGTTAGCAATAAAAGTGACCGTTGGCAAATGTTCTTTTCAAACATAGAAGCAGAACGTGTTGTTGCCCTGTCCTCTTGGCTACTTAAGAGCCTTACCTGAAGCACTTCTACCCGAAAGAAACAGCAGTGGCTTTGTACACATCGGCTTAGTGGAAGGAAGAACGTGGGGCCCCCGGTTTTTTTACCAGGTGACTGCGCAATTCATGTCACCTTTCTGGGGCAGTTTCTATAGCTTTAAAAATGGGTGTCATAACATGGAATGGTCCTTGTGCAACCTAACCTCACAGGGTTGCGGTCAAGTGACATAAAAAAGGAACAGCTCTGTGCCCTGTACGAGTCCATGGTACCTGTTCGTGCCACCGACAGAGTGGCTGACAGCTGTGTACGTGTTTTCTTGTAGGAACTACTGAGTTATCAGTCGTGTTTGTGGAGCACCTATGGAAGCTCAAAATAAGCAGCGGGCGTCCCCGCTCCCTCGCACGGCAGAGCCTTGCTCTGACCATCGGCCCTTAACGTAGGCCTAGTTCTGACCTATTGACTTTCCTGCTCATGGCAAATTAGAAGGAGAGAAGAGCTATTTATAGCAGCACGTAGTTTAATAGCTGATAGCTGGTGAGGAAAGAAGACAGAAAGTTTATAAGAAAACCAACAATGAACTATACAGAGCACAGGTCCTTAAGGTCACTTAGCAGGTTCAGATAATCCTTGATAAAAACTGTAAATGGTCCCTGAGAGTAACCACTAGTTTATAGTATTTAGGTGACTTTGAGTCACCACAGAACAGTTCCATCATAAATCAGCTTAAAAGGGAAATATTTCATGTGTCTATACAATCAAAATCATTTAACTACAACAACCTGGGTACTGTGACGAGCACTCAGTTTTTTTGAAGTTGTACCTGTCTGAAATTCTTTTCCAAAGGCGACAAAGCATATCGAAATTTATAAGCTTGAGGGAGGGAGTTAAGAAAAGCCACGTGCAAAATCACTTGGTCTGAAGAGTTTCAAAACATACAAAAGTGCTAGACTAAAGGGCTGTTGGCATTGAGAGAAGGAAAAGGGAACTCCGGGTGGGAATGGCTGGGGAGTCTCTCCTTAGACTGGGTGGCAGGATGGGGCCTTTCAGAACGCAGAGCGGCCGGAGACGTGGTGGCTGTGGATGGTCCTTCCCCTGCCCCACCCAGCTATGTCACACGCATTTGCTGTGTCTGTGTCAGACGCTATTCTAGGTGCTGCCGTTACTGCAGAGAACTAAGTGACCAAAGTTCCTGCTCTCATGGAACTGATGTTCTAGAGAGCGAGGGGGACAACCGGCCAACAAAATGGACCAGACAGGTCTTGTAGTGTTAGTAACGTGTGTGTCTGTGTGTGTAGTATGGCGTGATTATAGATGGTAGCCAGGGCTTGCTTTTTGGTGGCTGTGACATGAAGGACAATGGGTAGGCCCCGTCAAGGTTCTAGGGGCTGAGAGCTCCTGGAAGAGGGAACATTTGGGGAAATGTATTGCCGAGGTGGTGCATAGTGAGGGCCACCTAGACACTCACGTGAGTGTTTTGAGTTATGGAACTCAATTCTGCAAATGCACGTTCGGGCCTGCTTTCCACCAGGCATTGCACTTAGCGCCTGGACTGGTGGGGAAGAGTCGAGAGACGAGGGAAATCTCCAGGGAGGAGTGTCTCCATCTTACTGCTGCTCAGGGCGGGCCAGACTGCCTGGGTGCTTTAGCTGATGTTGTATGGGGTCCAGGACAGGTAGGCGGGGCGGGCAGGAGCCCTGTGGGAGAGGAGGTGAGCA